CAGGAATGCACGTGCTGTGCACAGATAGAGATGGGCAGGGGCTGAGTGGTCTGTGGGTGGTATAAATAGCCCACACTGTCCTGCTTAAATGTACAGCTTAAAAAAAAAACAACTAAGAAACTGCATCTGGAATGTCTGAACCTTCTGGTCCCAAGCAACTGCTCCACTGATGCTGTCAGATGCACTTAGATAGAGGGATTTAAAGTGATTATTTATATATGGTATTTTCATGTTCCTAGGTATAAAAATATAAATATATATGTACATTGTAAACAAAACTGGATATTGCAGGGCAGAAACTTGATCAAAGAATCTATTTTTGGCATGTTGAGATTGTATTTAAAAAGGTTCCATTTTATGTACGTAATGTTCATGGCTGCAAGTACTAGATAGCTATATGTAAAATTTATGGAAGGTGGAGATCCCTGGGGGGATCAGCTGGAGTCACAGCTAAGTTCTGGGCTCTGCTGCAGCACCATGGAATTACACTGAAATTGGAATTTAGCCATTGGCTGCTGACAGACAAACTGCAAAACAGCTGTGAAACAAACCATGAAATCATCAGCAACGCCCAAAGTTACCCTGTGCTTTGGGAATCATACACTGCCTTTCCCAGCTCACGTCAGAAGAACTGGAGTTTATAATCATGGCATTATTGTGCAGGGGAAAATGTTTTGGATCATCCTGAGAGTATCTAAAATGCGCTAATTAGCAGTTTGGCTCCTGAGGGCTTGTGATTTGGACACACGCATCATAAAACAGCCTTACTGAGGAGGGAATTATATCCTCCTAGACGTTTCCAAAGAGAGGACTTGCATCTCTCCTCGTGAGCTCCGAGACAGCTGTGAAATTCCTGCCATGCAAACGGCTGCCTCGCTGCTGTAGTGCAGCACAGGTTTTACTGTGGCACGGAAAATTAACCACGCACCTGACAGCAGCTTGCAGCCTGCAGAAGCCCACGGGCTGCACTGCCTGGCGTTTGCCAAATGCTTAAATTTAGGGGGAGCTGCGCACACCAATCTGGGGAGGGAACTCAGCCATGCTAAACCTCTGAAGGGAGCAAAACGCCATCCTTCTCCCAGGTGCTGAGCATGCTCTGCTACCCTGCACTGGTGAGAGATGGAGACTCTCAGCACCTCTTGGGACAAGCAGGGCGGAAAAGGAAACTATTTTTATAGTGCACCACTTAGATCCCCATATATATTGGGAGGTGTAAGATACAGGTGGTGCACTAATGCAGCTCCAAAGGGCACCTGGCTTTGTAATCGAGGTGATTAGGTGGAGGTGGCAGTGTCTCATGTGCATCCTGAAGGACAAACTGCTTCCTCTGCTGTCCAAACCATGCTGTGCTGCTTCTTATCTCCTGAGTGCACTGCAGCCAGCACCAGCTCTCTGCCAGAGACTGCTTTGGATTAGCTCCTAGCTCAGAGATCGCTCCAAGATTTGCTAAATTCCAGATGCTAAGTTTTATGATTAACAGCGACGCACAAATGAGAAAAACCTTCACTCTCAAGTCCCGAAGTAGGATAGGTCACTGGCAGTCGGGTGGGGAGGAGAGCTTCAGACGTGAGCTGGGGCACAACACACACACAATTCATGGTGCACTTTATGGAGTGACCTTTTCTGCTGGAAATGAGAAGGAAGCATCTTCCTTAATGAAAAGCAGAGGCCTCACCATGGCGTTCTACTCTAGCGATGACAAAATAACTGTGATTTACTCCATTTAATTCAGTGTATGTAATAACTGTTTCAAGTTTCCACTGTCACTGGTGAATCCACAGTAGTAAGCCATAGCAAGGACTAAAATGCCTCTTCTTAATGTCTACCCTGCTAGAAGTCAATGCAGCTTCTAACTGATGTAATCTGTAATGTAGTGCTATCCAGGGGGCCGGGCAGCTGGCTTTGGCTTTGGGGGACGATGGCTGAGAGATGGCACAGGCAGGCAGGCTCCTCAGCCTGACTTCCCTTGTGTTTTCCTCTCATACCAGCTGCACTTCATGCTGTCCTGATGAGGTGCATACGAAGTACTTTAGCTGGTCCGTGCTTTCCTCCAGTATCTCTGTACCAGAACTGGTGTATTTCTGCCGTGACGCCAAAACGATGCAGCTTACATAGTGTTAGAGGCCTTAAGCGCATGTGTGTCCAGCAGTGTCCAGCTGTGCCAGTCTTGTCCGTGTGTCGGTCGGTCCCGCGGCCTCAGCATTTTATGCCAACGTTGTCCCCACGACTAAATACAAAGGAGTGACGGCAAAGGACAGAGTTCTGTGTTTGAGCCTCTTGCACAACACCGCACGGGTTGGTCGGTGTCTCTCGCTCTCTCTCTCCCAAACGCGCTGTTCCGGGGTTCTCTCGGTGTTAGTTAAAATTTACCCACCCAGCCCGGGCAGGGGCTGTGGGGCGCCGGGCACAGCAGCACACGCAGGGCGGGCGGG